TCAATCTGCCTTTTGTGTGGGAGACTAAAGAGGGGCAAGAGTTGGAAGCAGTGAAAACTGTTAGGAGGCTGTTTTAATAGACCAACTGAGAGAAGATAGTGGCTTTGACTAGAATGGACCTAATAATTTGTACAGGACTCTGGGAGTAGGAGCTGGTGACATAAGCTGTTAAAATTGTGAGCTTGAACCTCTAACTTAAGCATTCAAGTAGATAAAAATTTAAATGTAAGTAAGTGCATGTGTTTAGTGGGATAATGGACTAAGAAAGCTGACTAGTTTCTGAGTCCCAGTTGTATAGTTTTTGTTTTGTTTTTCCAGCTCTACTTTTAAGTAGGTGTGTAACTTGGAGAAAGTCTGTTACTTTCTGTGTGCTCCAGTTTTTTTCAGGAAAAAAATGAGAGTTTGAATTACTAAAGGTCCCTGATTTTATAATACTGTAAAAAAGGAAATATATAACGAATGTTTACTTTATGATGGGCTACTGAATGAAACACATTTGTCGATTCAGAAGTGCTGGAAGGCATTCTTATCCATAAGGTACTCACATTTATAAAAGATTTTACAAAACAGTTACAATATAAGATCATAAATTTAAATGCAAAAGTATGTAATGCAGATTATAAATTCTACAAAAGTTTGAAAAAGAGGACAATGAATAAAAACTGAATTAGCCATGAAGGTAATATATGAGATCTGTCTGGAAAAAGTCTGACCATTGTTAATATACTGAGAACAGTTTGTGTGACATCGATGTAACCTGGCAGCCAAGGAGAGTGCACTGGAATGCACATGAGTGAACAACGATGACTTTACTGTAATTGCCAGTGGGGGCAGTAGATGACATTGAGTGAGCCTGTGTACTATGTGGCTGTTGCATTAAAAATGACTGAGCAAGTAGAGCAGTGAATCTACATCAGATTTTACATTAAGCTTGACCATTCCTCCATGGAAACTATTCGGATGATTCAGAAGGCCTCAGCTATGGGCAGCTGGTGATTGGCAGCTTCATCACAACAATGCGCCTGCTTATGCTTCACATCTTGTGCAGCGTTTTTTCGTGAAACATCAAACTACCCAGGTCTCACAGCCCAGATTTGGGGCGCTGCAACTTCTGGTTTTTCCGAAAACTAAAATCACCTTTGAAAGGGAAGAGGTTTGAGACCGTTGATGAGATTCAGGAAAATATGACAGAGCTGCTCATGGCAACTGGGAGAACTGTGTGAGGTCCCAAGGTGCTACTTTGAAGGGGACTGAGGAGTCACTGTCCTATGTACCATGTTTATTGCATCTTGTATCTTCTTCAATAAATGCTTCTATTTTCCATATTACTGGCTGGATACTTTCTGGACAGGCCTTGTATACTTGATCTGGGACTAAGTATGATTTAGTTAAAACAAATTTAGAGGAAAAAGCATTCTGGGTAGAGAAGACATGAGCAAAGAGAAGGGCTTAAGGAACATAGCATGATGTGGGTTTTTTGTAGCTAGAGACTCAGGTAAAGTCAGCCTGACTATATTGCAAGGTATGTGAACAATGGGTAAACAGGATGTGCCAGATAAAATAACATAGAAGTCAATAAAATTTAGTCAGAAGTGTTTTCACTTTTAATCCAGGCAAGAACTGGGAGTATTTTTTTTAATATTTTATTAATTTATTTTTAGAGGAGAAGAGAAGGAGATAAAGAAGGAGAGAAATATCAGTGTGTGCTTGCCTCTCACACCCCTCCTTAACTGGGGACCTGGCCCATAACCCAGGCAGGTGCCTTGACTGGGAGCTGAACCCACCACCATTTGGTTTGCAGGCCAGCTCACAATCCACAGAGCCACACCAACCAGGGCAAGAAGTGGGAGTATTAAAGATTCTTCAGTAGAAGGACATATTAAAATACACATAGTTTTCTAGAAAGATTGGTATAATATGTGTACTGTGAAGTAGGCATGAAATTGCCATGTCCCTAGTAGTATGCAGGCATTTCACATACCTTTTCTCACTTAATCATGGAAACATCAATGAAAGAAACTAAAGTTCAGAGAGTTTAAATAGATTGCCTGAAAGGTATTATGCATAGTAAGTGATTGGAGCCAGGATCTGAACTAAAACCTATCTGGTTCTTACTCTAGAAGGTCAAGGTGGGAAAGACTCTTTCAGGAAGCTTTAGCAGCAGTAAGCCAGGCATGAGGTAATAGGGAATTTACTCAATAGCAGTGGGAATGGAAAAGAAGTGATGGAACTGAGAATTTTTTAAAGGTGAATTTTTTGACTACATATAGGAGATAAAAGAGAATAAACCTAAGACGACATTGAACATTTTCTCTCGGATAGCTAATGGAGATTACTGTTCTTTGTGGCAGTGGTTGTTAGGGATAGAGACAGACAGGAGGGTTTAAAGGGATGGGAAAAATGATATCTGATTTGGGAATGTTGAGTTTTAAACATCATTAAGTATTTAGATAGTAAAGTCGGAATATTCCAGGATTTGAGTGTCCTCATATTAGTCAAAGGCATAAGAATGAAGAAATTTTCTTTCTGAAAGAGAGAAGCTCGTGAAAGAAGAGCAGAAGACTTAGAGATACAACGCTGGATTTGTCATGTAGGATTAGGAAGAGCACTATCAGGCAGCTGAGAGCAACGTGGAAGGTCCTATTCTCCATATTTGCGTGTTGACCTCTGTCAGACTAGGAATAGATATAAATGAATTTCGGTTCCCGATCAAACTTTTCAAAATAGTGGATTGTTTGGTCCCAAACGTTTGTTAGTTTATCTTTTTGTCCCATTCTACTTTATCTTTTGGTGAACATTCTAAAGACTATCTTGTGTTCATATTTATATTACTGACTTGATTGTTCTGTGAATTTGCATGGACAATCTAATGGCTAGGATTTGACAAGACAAGTGTAAACAGGAAAAGAAAAACAGATAAATGGGGTTTCATCAAAATTAAAAACTTTTGTGTATTAAAGGAACTATCAAAGAATGAACAGAAACCCATAAAATGGGGAGAAATACTTACAAGATTAATATCCAGACTATATAATGAACTCCTGCAACTCAACAATGACAAAAACCAACCTATATCAAAAATGGGCAAAGGACTCGAATAGACACTTCTCTATATAAGAAGGTGCTGAACATCACTTATCATTATGGAAATGCACATAATCCACGTATTCATCAGGATGGCTATTATTTAAAAAAACGGAATGTAATAAGTGTTGACAAAGATGTGGAGAAATAGTAGCACTGTGCGCTGGTGGTAGAAGTGTAAAGTGGTGTAGCCTTGTGGAAAACAATTAGGCAATTCCTCAAAAAATTAAAACTAGAATTAACCATGGGGTACAGAATTGCAATTCTAGGTATAGACCCCACGGAATTGAAAGCAAGGACTCAGAATAGATACTTGTATACCAGTATTCATAACAGCACTATTTATAAGAACAATTTATTTACAGTAATCTGTTATTGTAAATAACAGATTACTTACAATAACTAAAAGGTATAAACAACCTAATATTCATCAAAAAGTGAGTGGATACACAGAATGTGGTATAAATATATACAATGGAATATTATTCAATCTTAAAAAGGAAAAAATGCTGGTACATGCTACAACATGGATGAGCCTTGAAAGCATTGTGCTAAGTGAAATAAGCCAGACACGAAAGGCTGTATGTTATATGATTCCACTTATAGAATCATGTAGGTACTTAAAATAGCCAATTCATAGTGAGAGAAAGTAGAGTAGAAGTTACCAGGCATTGGGCAGGGGAGGACTGAGGAGTTATTTTTCAAAGGGCACTGAGTTTCTGTCTCAGGTGATGAAATAGTTCTGGGTGCACTGAGATGGGTGTAGGTGATGGCTACACGACACTGAATGTGCTCAGTGTCATAGAACTATATACTGAAAAGTGGTTAAAATATTAGATTGTATGTTATGTATATTTATCACATTTTTTAAATAAAAGCTAATGGCCTTTGTGTAAGGTTATCTTATGGCTGTTGGAATAGTGCCAACATGTGCTAACTTTAATGTGCCTTTACTTGTGTATTTTCGCACTATATTCTTTGTTTTGTATTTGTTGATAATTTAATTCTTATTTTAAAAATAGCCAGCAGCCTTCCATTTCATCAATTTCTGTTGCTTTAACTTTAATTATCTAAAGTTTCAGGCTATTTGAGATCATTTTAGCTCTTATGATAATATTTGTATGTGTATCCTTATATTAAAACTGGTGGTAATAGTAGTATTTTTCATTATTAAAATATAATAAAAATATATAATATGAGAGAGGACCCCAAAAAACTGGAATTATCTTCTGGAGGGCAGAACCCCTATAATACAGGCTTCCCCCACTGGGTGAGTGTTCTAGGAACCCAGCTGTATGAGTGGTGCTGTTGTGAGAGGCTGTGTTCCTCTTCAGTAAATATATTTTTTGAACACTCTTTCAACATGTTTACCCATTGCATGATGGGTGATTTATCAGCACACCTGCCCACACCCTACTGAGTGTTCAGCAGTTTTTGACCAAAAACAGCACGACCCTGTGTCCCACCCTCCCTATTCACCTGATCGCTCCCCAAGTGATTTTTTGTTTGTTTGTTTGTTTCCCTGGATGAAAAAAGATAGCTGGATTTTTAAACTCTTAACCATTGCACTAGCATATGGGTAGGGGGACGAAAACCCCCAGAACTCAAAGAAAAACATTTTGCCAACGTTGAAGAGGTGAAACAAAAAATGGCAGATGCAATAAAAGGCATTAAAATCGGCAAGTTCGAAAACTGTTTTGAGCAGTGGAAAATGTCTTTATAGGTGCATTGCATTAAATGGGGTACTTTGAAAGTGTCTGGAATTTAAACATGTAAGAATGAATGCGCAATTTTTTTATAAATAAGTTCTGGGGGTTTTTGGGCCTCCTCCTCCCGTACGCTAGTGTGATGGTTAAGAGTTAAGAAATCCAGCTGTCTTGGAATAGTCTTCCTTCATCGCCGTGTTTTGCTTGCAGGACGAAGATGAACTGGATTCCCATACCATGGTGAAGACGAGCTCGGAAAGTGTGGGCACGATGCGGGCCACGAGCACGATGAGCGAAGGGGCCCAGACCATGATCGAACACAACAGCACAATGTTAGAGTCCGACCTGGGGACCATGGTGATAAACAGCGAGGATGAAGAAGAAGAAGATGGAACTATGAAAAGTACGTGGCTTTTCCCACTGAATATTAACTTGCTATTTTAAAATTGTACTTCTATAGAAACCAGGGTAGTTCTATATTTTTGTTTCTTTGCTTTGTTTAACCATAAAAAGAATACAGCACAAATAAACTTAAAAATATTTTTAATATGGTAAAAAGCAGCACATCTCTAACTTAGGGTTATGGAACTTTTTTTGATAAAGGATACTAACCCATAACTTAATTTGTAAAATATTTTACAGATAAAAAGATAGTGTTTCTAACATTTGCTTTTCCAATGAAAAGGTGAACCTAAAGTTTTGTTTCAGGAAATGCAACATACCGGTAATATTTTTTCATGTTGTCTAAATTATCAGTTATGCTACTGCAACACAGGGGTGCAGGTGAGAGAAAATAAGGGCTGAGGTGGGACCAAAAGAAACATCAGAAATAAGGATCAAGAGACAAAGATACTCATGCATAAACTTCATGTTAGTGCATATTGACTACTGCCTGTCATGTGTGAGGTACAGTGCCAGGGCTGCTGCAGGGGCCAGAAAGCCAGTGAAGACATTCTCTCTGATGTCCATTGCTTACAGAGTGATGGAGATAGAGTCTCACAGACAAGCGCATGTAGGTATAGATATATATATCTTTCTGAGATCGTAGTTAATGATGTAGGACATTGTGATTTCGGTATAGGCAAAAACAGATGAATCACCTCCTCATGCCTACTGACCTTTCTGTTCCCCCACCACTCTAGTCACGTGTGGTGAACGTTGGAGTCCCAGCACTAGGCAATTTTCTGCTGCATAGGACTGCTTCTAAGCGGTACAGAAGCATACCGCGTGGCTTTTTGCATTGTAGAGCCTAGCAAGTTATCAATTTGCTGGTATTGTAAAATGGACATAGGTAGGAATTTCTTCTCTGATGTTTCTGGGGTTTTTGTTTATGTTTTGTTTGTGTTGTCGTTGTTTTTGCCTATCTCTTTCTTTTTTCTACTCATCCTGTTAGACTGCTTGGTACATCTTTACCTCCGTAGTATTAAGTCATTTGGCTCACTGCTGTTGCGTTCTTTACATTTCCTAGCATATAGCCCATCACAGTTGTGTGTTTTTGAAAGGGAAGGTCATGAAACCCAAAATGCAGACAGATTGCCATATAGTTAACCCCAGGGTGGTGGGAGGGAATGGATTTTTCTATATCCCACAACTGGTGTGTGTTCTGAGACTTTGCTCTGGAAAACAGCCCAAGACTTGGATTTCCTGATTTCTGGCGAGGCTCCCGACTAGGATCGGCTTCCTGCCCCCCCAACATACTTACCCACTTGCACTGGATGGTGCTGTGGCCTCCAAAGCCAGCTAGTTTTGTGGCACCAGTCATGTGCTCTGTACATAAGAAGGCCCTATCATAAGACAGATCATTTTTCCACAAGCGATAGCATTCTTTTAGGTATGACTCTTAGCAGACTATTTAGGTCATTGAGTGCTTCTTCGTATCTCTCATATCTTTAAAATCTTTTTTAAAACTTCTTAGATTCGTTGGCATGAGCTCTCAGGTTATGTCACATCAGTCAAAGCTTCAATGTGTCTTTAGTGATTTTGTTCCCTAGAGAGGTTATACCAATATATTCTTAATTTTTTAAATGTCTAAAATGTTGTATTGTGTGTTGAGGGTTCTGATTGCCATCACCTTTTTTATCACAGTTTCAGATGCATTGCCTGATTCAATATTCCTGTCAATATAAGCTGTTTTCATAGTCTTTATACTGTTATCCATGAAGGTAGAAACTATAAACCTATTTTCTTTACTTCTGGAAGTATGTTGATTTGACTGTAGGAAGCAAAATTATTTTTAAAAATCTTTTGAAGGAAAGTGGAGAAAAGTGACAATTTTTTTTTAATTTGATCTGTTTAAAAAACAATGGCCTCGGCCCTGAGGGCATGTCCCAAGAAGAACTCTCCAGTCTGTTTTCAGCAGTTGTAGCATGACTTTTTCCCTCTGCCTTCCATTCTTTCCATTCACATCTCTCTCAGGCTCTTCATTGTCCATCTGTGGCCAGAATTCAGCTGTCTAGCCAAGATCTTTCACAGTCCAGCAACCGCAAATATTGATACATGCAGATCTCTACTTTATCCAGATTGGTGTATGTCGCTTGGAATTGTGAATGGTTGACAGTGGGTATAAGTAGGTTGGTCATCGAATTGATGAGGCAATAGAAATTACTTCTTTGTGGGTGACTCTCGGAGAACAGTTCTTTCAGCAAAGAGAAGATTGGAGCCTTCTGCCTTGTTCAGCTCAGGTCTGCTCCGCTCTGTCTCTGAGGAGCACTTTTCCAGTCTTGCAGAGCTGCAGCTGGTTTGGTAGTGCTCATTGTCCGGAGAGGGGCTGTCTTTTGTTGCTTTCAGATGAGCTGCACCCTCCAGTCAGGTTAGAAGCTGTGTTTCTTGGCTTTAGCTTGGCTTTTATATCCTCACTTCCTCTTCCTTATTGGCCTTCTTTTCTCCCTCTCCTGGCAAAATGTGACTGTGGATCAATCTGTTTGTCCATCTGCTCTGCATCTTTGCTGTGGCTGCTGATTGCTGATGGAGACAGTCTTGCACATGTGCAGATGAGGCCCTCCAGTTCAGGTCTGTCGGCCCGGTCTGGGCCCTCAGAACTTTCCCGCAGGCCTGTTTCTCTGCTCAGCAACTTCTCATTCTACAGAGTGGCTACTCTAACCCACTGCTAAATTGCTTCTTGCCACCTCGCCCCCCAGTTTCAGTAGAGGGCCTTGCTTCCTACTTCCAGGAAAAGAATTAAATGTTATGTGAGAATGGGAGAAGCTGTATAGGTGTTTGAAATATGGAATTTGGAGTAAAACAGGGAAATTAGAGTTAATCTTAACTTCTCTCTCTCCCCTCACCTCCACTGAATTAACATCGGGTCTCAGGCTTCCTAATTGACGCCCTGCCTTCAGTCTTGGTCCCCTACCCTCCACGTGGACCTCATCATCTCTCTCTTTGCTGTTGGCCCTCCAGTGACTCCCCATTGCTCTTAGTGTGGAGCCCAACGTGGAATAAAAGGCGGTATATTCTCTGGTCTCTGCTTACCTTTCTGTTCTCAGCTCTCACTATTCCTTCCTCTAGCTGCTCAGCTCTTAAAATACTCATCCTTACCTTTGGGCTTTTGTACTGCCTAAACCCATCAGTTTCATACTGCCCAGTACCTCCCTCTGTTTAGATTCCTGCTTCCTGAGCTAATTGATATTTATCTTCTTAGGTTCAGTTAAGCGTTTGCTTCCTCTACTGACCCCGTAGGCAACCATCTTACTTCAAGCTTTTGTTCTGAATAGCAATTGTCACACTGTATTATAATTGCTTATTTCTGTGTTATTATCTGTTTATTCCCCACTGCATTCTCAGTGCTTAATACATCTATTTTCAACTGGCGTGCCGCAGAATTTTTTTTCTTTGTAAATGACACATTTTATGGCTCAGCTGTGTTCTCTGTCTAAAACACAACCTCTGTGGCAGGGCTTGGGACATTGCAGCCACTTGGACATGTGGCCAGGGCTCTCTCCCTTCCCCAGGTCTGAGCTCTAGTCTGAAAGTTCCCACGGAGGCCCGGTGCTTGGCCAGGTGGGATCCCCACCCCTCCCTGCCATGAGTTTTTCTAAGCATGTAGCATTATCAGTGCCAAGATTTATTGCATGTCTGAAGTTTTCAGCCTATATGCATAGAAATTTATAGATGGTGAAACAGTTTAAATTGTGTAAGGTTTATTTCATTTCAGTGGTTTAGTTTTGAACTTCTGAGAAGTGTATTCACAAATAATTTTGAGTAATGCCCATATTTTTTCCAACTCGTATGAGTTTTTATATATATATATATTTTTAGTTTTAGGCAATAGCATTCCATTTAACATGGGCGAATTTCTAAGAAAAGAATGAAACTTAGAAGACAGTGAAAATGTGATGCTGGTATGTCGCGTGTTGCTCGGCCCAGCGCACGTCAGCAGCTGGTACCTTGTCTACTACCTTCATTGGCACTGGTCCTTCTGAAGCTAAATCAGAAACTATGTTTGCCAACAGGACAAAAATTATCTGTCATTTGGCTTTATATCCACTGGAGAAAATTTGCCATGCTCCACGTGTGTAGTCGCGATGAAAAATGAGCAAACCAAGCTTTGGCTCCAAGTACATGCAAAAGACATTTGCAGTCTAAACATTCTCACTTGTGTGAAAGGCCAGTTGAATATATTAAAAGATTTATGCTGGATAAGACTAGTAAAGCAAAAAGATAAACTAAATGTTTAATGGTATCAGAAAAAGTGCAAGAAGCGAGTCACACAATCACAAATTGTTGATAAAAAATGAACTCTCACGTCATTGCAGAATCTGTAATTTTACCCATATGCTGTAAATTTGTAAAAATCATGTTTGGTGAAGAATATGAAAGGAGGTTTTAAAAATTTCAATGTCAGATAATACCATTTGTCAACGTATTCAGGATGTTGAGTTGCAAGTGACATCTCACGCCAAAAAAATAGACATGTTGGCTACTCAGCCGAATGAATCGACAAATGTCACTGGCAAAACTCAGCTTCCAGCAGTCAGTAGATTAATTGATGAAGAAGAGATTACAGTTTTTATTTTGTCGGCCACTCCCAAAAGCCATGAAAGGCCAAGGTATTTTTGATGTTGTTGGTAATTACTGTAATTGTTGTAACTTGTCTTGGGAGTCCTGCATCAGTATTTATTTGTACAGAGAGTGCCTGCCTGCTTTGTGTCAGGAAGTGTAAAAGGATTTGTTACACTGGCTCAAGAAAAGAATCTTAGAATTATTTTTACTCATTGTTTTCTCTACAGAGAAGTATTCATGTCAAAATCATTGGTACCTGAGCTGAAAAAAGGACTGGATGAGACTATCCCAATTTTCGACAGTAGCAAAAGCAGGCTTCACAGTCACGGTTGTCTGCAGCACCGTGTTCCTCAGTGCAAGGAACTTCTCCCACACAGTTGGTACTCCAGAAAGGCATTAGGT